GGAGGACTGTGGGAGGGTGAAGGGTAGTAAGCATGGTGCCTCCATCATCGTGTCCGTTGTGACCTTCAGGCTGCCCAGGGTAATTCCCCCACACCAACTAGGACCCCCACCGACGCTCACCCTTCCCCCCTTTTACTGACCACGGCTACTACCACGCTCACCAGAGGAGATCCCACACTACTACTACTGCTGCTACTACAACTATTACAACTACTACTGCTACTACTACTAATATTAATAATACGTAACACTTCTTTAACCATTAGGGCTATGATTACCATCCTTACAAAGCAGCGTAACCAGACGCACTCGCACGCACCCTGAGGTAGACCACGCACCTAGACTCAAGGGTGGATGTGGTACAATCTAAAGTGTTAGAAACCAGACATCAGCCAATTTGTGGACACAGTCCCGGAGAGGAAAGGGTCAACCCTGAGCAACTGGCTGCACTACATTCTCTGGAATCGAGTATGAATGTCCTTTCACTCTCCCCCAGGCGCTGTATGATCCCTACGGGTTTAGTGTTTCCCTAAAAAACACTACTACTACAACTATTACTACTACTACTAATAATAATCCCTAAGAGAGACAACTAGGCTGGTGTATCACTGCTGGTAGAAGCATCATCGCAACACGAGAACACTGTATCAACATCCGTGTCTCAAGACTTGTCAAACTGCTAGTAGCAGCTACAAGACTACCTGCAGAAGCCTTGAAAAAGAAACTTGACTATTAACAAAGCGTCAAATTAACCAGGCTGTGATGGCTACGTGGGCTAGCGGGCCACCCAAAAAAGTAATTGAGAGAAGGCTAGCTCCAGGTATGGCCGCGAGGAGGGGGGGAACCTTAGATACTAGGCACAGGTAACACGCGGGCATCACCTCGGTTGGTTCTCCACAAACACCAACTGTAAGCACTACACAGCAGCAATTCTCGTGCAATATGCATTCAAAACTATTAAGTATTCATTAAGTAATAGTGTATGAGTGAGGACGGGTGAGTGGAGGGCGGTGATGGGGCAGTATTGACCACTGCAACACGCAAACACAACCACTTAACTCTGTCAACAGTCTGCCCCCCGTGAAGCTCATCAACTTACCACACACACACACACACACACACACACACACACACGCATATACAACACAACAGTACATGCACACTTACAAACGCAAGAGGCACACACATAACAGCACCAGCATATGCATGCACAGACACACAACGGTACACGCAGCAACACACGCATGCATCAGCAACTAAATGAAATACTGGCCATTGCTAAGTTTTGAAGATTGGCACACATGTAACACAATCAAGTACTGACCATTAGTGTACTGAGGACAAAAACACTCGACAGCACGAGGTGCTGACCATCAGTGTCTGGAAAACTGAAACACCAGATCTGCTGCGAGTCTACACAGTGATCACTTGGGGTGGAGGAGAGTGTAGGGGCTGCCACTCCGTACCTGTGACGGGAAAGCAGAGGCAGCGGAAGGCGGAGAGGATTCAGAGAGAAAACAAAAAGTAATAATCACATTAAGAATGTAACAGTTACATTACCGTACCTCTGTAGCTTCATTTGACCTCTAGGGATTATTCAGCTTTCATCCCCTTGTCGCCCGGTGAATGGGTGTTGTTTACAAACTCCACGTTTACCTGCAACACATTTTCCGACATATGTAAGACTCCTCCCTCATTCAATGGGTAAGCGATGGGCCGCACTCCCTTAACAGGATTTTTCTCTCGTCCTTAATGCCTTTGAGGAATTCAGTGATTCCGATTTAGTGGTCTTAGGGAAGACACTGCGGTCCTTGCTGATCTAATCTGCTACTTGGGAGCATTTATTTGGCCCTGAGCACGTTCAGGTAACCAGCGGAGGAACTTGTAACCCTTAGTGACCTGGCGGCACTTGTTTTGACCCTAAACGGCCATGTTAGCGCTTCCCTATCTCTTAGGGTTAGTTGTTGATTTCCTGATGAGTTCGTCGCGAACAAGTATTGAGCCTTACTGGCCCTTGCAGAAGCTATTAACCCATATTGTTCTTGGGGCACTAGTCTGACCCTTAGTGAGATTGGATAAGCCGTAGGGTTTCCCTGGTGAACCGTGGACGAGGAAGTAGGTCTTACCATCCCTGAGAGCAGGTTGCTAGTCGCTACTGGCCTTAACGGACTTAGGATGTTTCTTTAAACTTGCGAATACTGGGCCCCTTAGTGGAATTAAAAAGAGGACACCAAGCTCCCTAATAAGTGGACCTAAGAGAGAGCACCAAGCCCTCTTGGGTGGCCCTCGAGCCCTGGGGACACGTATCTAACCCTCAGTGGCCCGGGGAGGATCTGGCACCCCCCGGGGCGTCCTGGGGCCTGAGCATGTGGCCGCGGGCCACCCCTCCTGTTATTCATCATGTCAACACGATGAATGACGCAATCCATTCACCGCGATTATCCGGATTATGTACTCAAGTATAAATGGGATTTTCATTCCGTTATCGCGTTGTGGTGGTGCTGGGCGAAGGTGTGAGGCGGGGTGCTAACACTGCAATGATATATATTTCGATTCTACTCGAGATCCTCTTCAGGAATGAGGCGAGAATATTCGTTTAAAGGGACGTGAACCTGGGTAGGTGAAGTACTTCGTGTTTAAGGTGAGACACTTGGTGATTACTGATCATTTGCTAATGGCTAAAGATGCCTAATCGCAGTGGTTGATGACGCAGTGACGCAATATTTGAAGACGTAGCGAGCGAACGTCTCTGTATCCACACGCACAACGCACTCGACCCGTAAGAACATGGAACATAAACATATTTGCATTAAAGAGATATGCTTATGTTCAAAACGATCACAAGGAGCGCCTTTGAGCTCCACCTCCCGTCCATCCACTACACATCCTCCACTTCCCATCAATCCACTTCCCCTCTTCTTCGTCTTTCTCCTTTTATTTAATTAACTCTACTCTTTCGTTTCAAATCCTTGCCTGTTTGTCTCCAAACCTTCAAAAAACTCTCAACTCC